TTAAATCTCACAATTGATTTTTGAAAACACTCATATGTACTAATGGTATGTACTATGATCTCATATATATATATATATATATATATTAAAATATTGTTTATTAGTTGAATTTCTAAAAATTTAAGAATAAAAAATCACATAACTATATCATTTCATTTGAACTCCTTGAAAAAAACTAAAATAACATATTTTTAACGTATGAAGGAGATTATTTTATTCTAGTTTTTTTTTTTGTACTATAATAAAATGATGTAATTTTTAAATGTTTTTCTCTTAATTTTTTAGAAATCATGCTTATAAACACAATATATATAAATGCACACACATACACATATATATGTGATAATTTTTATTTGATATTTTTAACTTTGTTTCATAGGAGATTTGAAAATATGCAAGAGAATAACAAGCTGGAATTTGACTACCAATTTTGTTAGTCTAGACTCAATAAACTATAGGAAAATTTGTTGTGCAATTTTGATTCCATCATATTGTACTACACAAATCTTTAAATGGGAGGTGAATTCTTTGATATTAGGGATCCTCTACTCATCCAACTATTTTGATTTTGCAATCTAATATATTGTTGAATGAGAAATGAATCCTTTGATATTAGAGGTTCTCCTCTAATCCAACTATTTTTGTTTTACAATTTAAATCATTAAATTGCAAAATAAAAAATGTAAACCATATATAGGTGACAAAAATAGAAGGCAACTAAGCCGTCAGGTCATGTAGCTAAAAGGCTTTCTTATTTATTGGTCAGTGTTCCAACCTGAGTAGCCTTTCTCCCACTCCTATTCCCCCACAATATGAATCACTTCCTATAGTATTAAAAAAAAAAATGGTAACTTGAAAGAAGTGGGAGATCATTTTGTTAGATTTTAGAGTTAGGTAACCAAAATGTCAATATTAATGACAAAGTTGGGTTACTATTTTGTTAAAATTATAAATTATTTAACCAGAAATGTTGATTTTTGCCAAGATATGTGATAACCATGACATTCACTAAAAAAATATAAGAAAAGCCTTTTTTTCTGATATATATAAGTTAAAAGTACATTAATTATATATTTTTTTATTAGTTATTATGGATAAAATAAGAATTACTTCAAACAAGACAGCACTTGTGATGAATACTGCATTTTCAAATTTCAAGATTAATCAACCCAGAACTATCATTTGTTTTGCACTCACCACCTTTCATTGTTGAAGCATCAATGAAGGCTACCGTACAGAAACTCGTTACTCCCCTCCGCTCAAATTATAATTGTTTTACTTTTTTTTTAATATATTTTTAGATAATATTTTTTATAATACATGAATGAAAATTGAAATTTTTTTTAATGAAAAAATTATGCAACAAGAATTATGCATAAGAAAAATAGAAATCTCAATTATCATTTATATTATAAAAAAATATTACCTAAAGTTATGTAAAAAAAATTAAATAACTTATATTTTAACACAAATGGACTTTTTACTCTAAGGAAATGCTATTGGGATAATTATTTTATCTCACATTTTTATACAACTTAATATGTCATTAAAATGATTGGTTCTTTTAATTTATATGGGACTCGTGATATTGAATGCATCAACTCATTTAATAACATGTGAAAATTGTAAAAAAAAAAAAAAGTGAGATAAAAATGTTGTTCCTAGCACCAACCATTTACTCTATTTCAATTTAATTGATGTTTTAGAAAGTTTTTCCTTTTTTGTTTCTTTTTATTTGATATTCTCCAAAATCAAGGCATATTTAATGTTTAATCTTTCAACTTTACCAAGATGAAAAAAAGAACTTTCAAGTTTTCCTTTCATTAAGTATGATTGATTATTTAATTTTCTTCTTCCAATTCAAGGTATAAAATACTATAAAAGGATAAATCACTAAATTTAATCTTAAACACTCCTATAATTAAGGTCATTAACTGAGTTTCTTAAGTTGTTTGAAACATCCTAAACATCAATTAAATTGAAACAGAAGTAATACTAAATTTCCAAGGTTGTGGATTCCGTTTCTAGCCTACTGATTTGGTCCGTTGATACGGGTTTTACACTTAATGACCTCTTCTAACTTCTTTTTTTTTTTTTGGTAAAGAAGCTGTTACCAAGATGTTAGGTTATCATGGAACAAAGCTGAAATCCCACAACTGAGTAATACTGTAATAGTTTTTTTCTTTTAACAGTGAAAGGTATAGGGATAGAATGCCATAATTCCAAAACCAATTACTTTATAATTACGTGAAATTGCATGAAATCTCATATATACCACTTCACTCCTACACAACAATATGAGACAAATGCTTCACAATCAAGGGAAGGGGGGCCACTTAATGGGTTTAATTTTTTTAAACAGTATGAAAGGTACAAGGACAAGACAAAAAAATACTGTAATAGTTGATTGTTTGGACTGAAATGGGTTTGCTATAATGCTATCCACCTGATTCATGTGTATAAATAAAAAAGATCAAAAGGACTGGAATGGGATATGAAATTTTGTCCATACAATCTTAGCTAGGTTAGGAATTGGAAAATACATGGTTCAAGAACCAACGCCATCCGGGATTTTCAAAGAAACCAGAAATTAGGACCCATAAAAATGGCACAGCACGCACAACACACAGCGTTAGCGCCTTCCCATTATAGAAAGACAAGCGCAATGGTAGTGGATCAATGAGTTTGAGATTGAGGAGGCCCACCCTAATTTGTGGGTTGTACTCTTTTTTTTTTTTTCCTTTTTTTTTTTCAAGCAAAATGACATCCAATAGTGATTTCTCGAGAGTAAATTTTAGAAGAGGAAAGAGGAAGTTGCAACGAAATGTCAAGACCAGATGGAGTCGAGTAAGATTCATTTCAGAGTAAAAGAGTGAAGCATATTTGGGAAGATTCATGGACCATCCTTAGCTTTTCAAGAATGGTATCAAAGAAATCTTTCCTTCAGTTATGCTCCTCTCTTTACCTTTATTTTCTGTCATGATATAAAATTTCTAACTAAAAAAAAAAAGTATCTACCTTAGAATTATATGCAAGTGAGCTTGGGAACCATATGTAGTCAAAAGTCCAATTAAATGTACAAATAACCGATATTGTAATTCGGTATAACTGCTAGATGAGCGTGCGAAAACCCGCAATTATTTTAGGGTTGTTATTGTTTGATAGTTAATTTTATAGAGTTTGTTACCGTTTTTTCAGATGGTCTATTAAAAATGCTATCTTCATTAGTCTTTTTATTGAGAGAGAGAGAGAGAGAGAGAGAGAGAGAGAGAGAGAGAGAGAAAATGGGCTAATAGCTGCAATTGAGAGATTGAGGATCTAATTGGAGGCCCTCTTGAGAATTAGGGATCAAAGGAAGAAATATTTTTCTAGTCATCCTCCGAAATTTTGTTTGAAAGAGCATGTCTAAAAACTTATGTTTTAATTAATATTTTTAAAAATTAACAATAAAATAAAGGACTATAATTGGTGCACACTCGGATCCAACACCCGGGTGTGCACACTCCACATAAAAAAAAGTGGACTGAGTGTTCTCCTTTTTTTTTTTTATGCGGAGTGTGCACATCCGAGTGTTGAATTCGGGTGTACACACATCATTTTCCTAAAATAAATTCTATTCATATTTATGGATTATGCATGTTGATTTTGAAATTCATATAATATACCTAATTAATTCATTAATTACACAAAATTTAGCACTACGAAATATATATTAATAAACAAAATTTTTTTATTAAAAGGTTATATATAAATGTTATATTAATATGAAAATTGACATGTATAATCTACATTAAAAAAACTTTTAATCCAACTATATATTTTTAAAATATTTATTTGAAAATAATTTTTTTGACAAATCCTCTAATAAAAGTTTGAGAGAACAGCTTGTAGTACACTGATTTTTTTTTATCTTAGGTAAAATTATTTAATAGAAAATAATTTTTTCTCATTTCTTAATCCACTTTATTCATATATCATATCACTTAAATTTAAGATTTTAATTAAAAAAAATTATCATCGAAACAAATTAGTTTGTTGGCCACTCCATTAACCATATATATATATATATATATATTTGGCAGATTAAAAACACCCTTATGTGTTTGTATTTTTCTTAGATGAAAAATGACGTCGTTAGTACTTAGTGGGAAGGGCCAGGAGCAGCAGTTTTGGCGGAGAATCGCCACTTTCAGTTTGCGATGCTTTTGCTGACGTCCGAGTCCGACTTCACTTGGCCCAGAGATTTCAGTTGCCCAATTAAATGAAGATGCCACTGCCACCGTTCCCTCCTCCGCCTCCGTCGCCGGCGGATCCGTGGACAATCTCTAGTGCTCCAAGTCAACGTGTGACCTGTCATGTGCCATTACTATCCCGTACTACCTTTTTTTGACTAACTAATCTCTTTTTCCCCACCTCCTTGCCCCCTCAGGGGCTATTTTCGCTTATTTTTTAGGAAGTAGTTTTTAAACTTAGAAATTTAAAATTTTAGACTCTTAGAATTTCAAATTCGTTGGAGGAAAATTTAATTTTTAACAAAAGAATAGGTTTTAAGTAAACGTCGGTGAAAATAAAGATTTGTAATTCTCAAAATATTTGTATAGTATCAAATTTTAAATTTAATTTAATTAAATAAAATGATATTATTTAACTTAAGATTATAATAAATAATTATAATTTTTTAACATTAAATTTAACTTAAATTAATTTTCATTTTTTTTAAATTTTTAGGTAGAGTAATATTCTTCTTTTCTTCTTGAACCTATTGTTTTCTAAGTTTATTTTCATTGATAATTTTTTTGGTACTAATTTCTTATAACTGAAAACCACATTAAATCCTGATTAATTATAATTGAGTCGTATTGAATTCCTATGGAAGTTTTTCCAATACTTATTTCTCTATTTATAAGACTTCAATTCAAAACTTTATTTTAAAAAAAATTAAGTTTCCTCCATTCGAACCAACAAGTTGTTAGTTATTTTTAATTTTTTTAAAGACTCTATTTTAATTGATAATGATATTACAAAAAGCGTGTCTTTATTTTTTTTAAAAAAAGGTAATATAAGTAAATACATAATTTGTTTTAAAATCCTTAATTTAGAAAAAAAAATAAAAAAAACAATTCTTTTAGAATAAAAGAAGTAAATATTAATTAAAATTAATTAAAAAT